AGCTGCGTGGAAACATAATTGCACAGATAAAGTAAAACAAACAGTCTGAGCTTAAAAACTTCAGCACTTTTTGAAATACTTTTGCTCACCAACAGTTAAATGGACAGACTGAACCATCCCTGGTTTCCATCAAGACTGCGCCAATTAGCCACCCAGAGAGTGTGATTTACTGGCTAACAAGCCAAGAAAACACAAAATCAATCACTCTTGTTCGAAGCCAAATGAGAATTCTGCTGGGACTTCTGACCTGTGCGTAAATAAATGCTGCTACCTGTCTAAAGTCACTGTGGTCAAGCATCTGAGGACTAATATGGTTGCCAAGTGATATCTTAAAGCCGCACACCGTCTGTTCGGTTTATCTGTTAAGTCTTTGAATAATCACTCTCCACTGAAGGCTGACTGTGATTAAAACGCTATCATTGTAACATCTAAATACGTTTCATGAGGTGACTTTGACTTAAAAGCTTGGGCAAAGAGTTGTGCCAAAGGGCCAGGCTTGCGTAGTCACCAGAGCAAAGCGGCGATGAATAATTCAAATGCATAATTCTCTATTAAAGCCGTGAAGGTGGCAGAGGTGATTTGCCTTTTGAGAATTATCGGTCAGCTTTTTATTTTTATTTTTTTTCTCAAATACTGGGTATGAATCATACAGAGCATCCCATCATTCAGCAAAGCACACTTAAATATTTAAGATAGCTGTGAAAGATTCTGAGGGCTGAGCTGGATTACGTGTGGAGAAAAAAAGGAAAACATGTATGTTTTCATATTTTGCCTAAATGTTATCTGCAGAACGAGGAGACAGATGAGATTTTGGAACAATATACAATGACTCTTTTGATGGGACGAGCTGAATATTTAGACTACATTTCAGATCAGCCCATCGCTTCTTTATCTCTTCGCTTGCTCATTTACTTTCTTTCTGCTTCTTCCTTCATATTTCTTTTTTGTCAGTACACATCACCGTATTTTGAAAGGTCTTTATTGTGGTTACACATTATCAGTGAAGCCTCATGTGGAAAGAAAAGACAGCTGATCTGTAATGGAAGAGTAAATAAAGAAAAATAAACAAACTCAGGGTGGAAAAATAATTGAAGCCTGTGAATTCCAGTTGATAATGACAGACACAGATCTCAACAGCAACTTTTTCATTCAAAATATATTGCGATATGCTTCTGATTACATTGTTATTATGCTATTTTTGTG